ACGTCATCACAGCCGGTTTGAAACCCCGTTCACCACCGGTTTTGGCCCTCGGCAGTGATATATCAGTGATGATGACATTGCCATCACTACCGGTTCATGTTACTAACCGGCGACGATGAGGATTTACAAAAATCCTAAAATTGGGCCAAAAAATAGAAAAAAATAATCTTGAGAATCCCCCACTAGCCCATGGCATGGTAACAATTCACGTGATTTTTCATGCGAAAATATGCCCAAGTGGGATTCAAACCAACAAGTCACACGATTTTGCACGAAAATATGTCATGCAAGTGGGATCCGAACATGAGACATGTACGTGGCCTCACGCGTAACTTCTCTAACCACTCCACCCAGAAGTCACTTGTGTAGGGTTTATCCATTCCCCTCATATTCACTTTTTAAGATTTCCAAATGAATATTTAGGACCCTAAACAAATTTAAATGAAGAATTCATCATCTACAAAGTATTACAGCCAATGATCTTGTGTCTTGGCCTGAATGGTGGTGTCTTGTAAAGCCCTAGAGTCCAAACAACTAAGATCCAGTCTGCACGTTGAATGAACCACACCTACCACCATCCCACTTACACTTTCATTCTCGCTTCGCGTAAAAGTATTATCTCGGGGATGGTAGGATGGACTATAGAAGCCTTATATGTTGGTCTAACCCACCCTAAACAACCAAGGTGGGCTAAACCCTCCACGACATCTCATTAACATGCACATGGCCACTATGGGCCAAATTCGAAATTGGGCCAGATGTCACATGTCTCCATCCTGTAGTTTGGCGTAGTAGTGTATTCCGCACTAGAGATGTCGCCGGACATTGTGACCCCAGCTCATACGAACTCCTGACGATCCTTGTTCAAAGGCAAGTAATCAGGGATTTCGACGTTGTTAAAGAGATGAACCCCAGGTGCTTTCTTCACACTGAGTTGGCCTGTGGTGGGTCTCTTCAATGTCATAGACCAAGGGGCACCCTTGGAGAGGCCCATTCACGAAGACAGAGAGCGCAATGTCGAGTAGGAGGGCGAGGGGAGCAGCCCAATGGTTGGCCAACCCCTAGGGTGGTAGCCCGACCCCCACCCCTCAGCCCTCCGGGGCATCCTCTCCGATGGTATTACATCGAGGGCTGGCACATCAAGGATGTCCACCGTCATAGCCACTTGGTTGATGGTTTTGGTGAGTTGGAGGTCTTCTTTATTGGTGGAAGTTCCTCCTTCAAGGAAGAGGGATGGATCCTTCTAGGGCTTCGAGTTGGGGGCCATGGCGGTGGTGTTGGGATGTGGAATTATGTAGAATTGCAGTGGTGTTACCCCAAAAAGTGGAAACTGAATGACAAAGAGAAAGTGGAAGGGAAAACTATGGAGGAGAAAGGGAGAATCCGTCGCAAAAGAATAGTCGGATATGCTAAAGGTTGTCATGTACATTACACGAGCTTGGAAGAGCATGGAACAGAGGTCTCATAGTTTGCCCCTTCAACTTTGAGTAAGTTGGATTCTATCATGTTCCTTACCATGTTTTCTAAATATGTATTCTCTTTGATACACTACATATAACTTATGTATTTGTATGCTTCAACTCATGCCGTAATCACTAGATTTGCATATTTGTTGATATCAGGGTAGCCATGGTTTAGGTATTGGACCCACTAGACAAGGAGGTGGACATGTATGAACACTTCTTGTGCATTCTCCAGACATATATGGACCTTAGATATGCATATATTATGCTGAGTTTTGAATACAAACTTGGTTAAATAAATTCAAATAGGGCATATACGCACTACATTACACTTGGCAGGTAGCATAATCTGAAAGAATGAAGGAGTTGTGTATCAAATCACATTGATAGGTACACCTATGGATGAAAACGGTACGGATATTTATTCGACCGTCCGTTCGACCGAACAAATATGAATACTTATCTGGATAGTTACTCGGATATCCGTTTTTTTTCGGATACGGATACTAAAACGGATATCTTAGGCGGATATCAAATACGGATGTAATATCATCGATATCCGGCGGATATCGGATAATCCGGATAAGTATCGGATATATCCGGATATTTAAAAACGGATATTATCCGGATATTTATTCAAAATTTAAAAATCACAAATTTTAACCATCCAAACTATCTCAAATGGAAAGTTGACCAAAACAACAATTGTAGATCTTGATGAGTTGAACAAACTTGGTATTCAAAACTTTTCAATTTGAAGTCATTTAGAGTTCATAATACTAGAGTCAAAGTGTTGTTTTTTTATTTGACCAAATTTGACTTGGTCAAACTTGCTCAAATGAGACACTAAATGACCTCAGATGAAAAAACTCTGAATACCAAGTTTGATCATCTCAGCAAGATCTACAATTGTTACATAGCTCATTTTCCCATTTGAGAAAGTTTTATCAAACACTAGTCATAAATTCTTGAATCTCATATAGACTTTCTGAAACTATGTCACACACTTGTGAAATTTGAACTATATTTTGTTCAAACTTTCTCAAATGAAAAAATGACCTATATAAGGATTGTATATCTTGATGAGATGAACAAATTTGGTATTCAAAACTTTTCAATTTGAGACAATCTAGGGTTCCGAAAACTAGTTTGTAAACATTGAAATTTAAAAATCACAAATTTGAACCGTCCAAACTATCTTAAATGGAAAGTTGACCAAAACAAAAATTGTAGATCTTGATGAGTTGAACAAACTTGGTATTCAAAACTTTTCAATTTGAAGTCATTTAGAGTTCATAATACTAGAGTCAAAGTGTTGTTTTTTCATTTGACCAAATTTGACTTGGTCAAACTTGCTCAAATGAGACACTAAATGACCTCAGATGAAAAAACTCTGAATACCAAGTTTGATCATCTCAGCAAGATATACAATTGTTACATAGCTCATTTTCCCATTTGAGAAAGTTTTATCAAACACTAGTCACAAATTCTTAAATCTCATACAGACTTTCTAAAACTATGTCACACACTTGTGAAATTTGAACTACATTTTGTTCAAACTTTCTCAAAATAAAAAAAATGGCCTATATAAGGATTGTAGATCTTGAATCCATGACCATGACTCCATGAGACCCATAAAGCAATGTGCTTGGCTATTTCTACTCATGCCGCGAAGATTGGTGCTTATATGATGTTTGATGTATGATGTATCTGTATCTTTATCTTATTTGTTGCTTTACTCTTTAGTCTTTCGGCTTAATCTAGATGGATTATGGACTCATAGAGTGGTGTAATGGTTTGCGCACGTATGATATATATATATATATATATATATATATATATATATGCTGCTTTTACTCAATATCTGAATAGATATTTATATCCAACCTTCTCCGAATCCGATTCATACCGTATTCGATACTCATTATTCGTATCCGTAACCGAGTCAATCCGTATTCGTATATGTATCCGAACGTTATCCGTGTCCGAATCCGAATCCGAACAGAAATATGAAAACAAATATAATATGAGTGATATCCGTTCGTATCCGATCCGTTTTCATCCGTAGGTACACCCCACTATAACTTAGTACCTAGACATTATTGTGTTTGATTATGTTTAGGCGGAATTACATGGTATATTTTAATGTAATATGCAAAACATGCTTCATCGGAGCAATGTGACAAGCAACGACTGGACTGTAGATTGTGGATATTATGTCTAAGGGTGCATGAAGGTCACTTGGCGATATTCGAGACACCCTAAAAATGTAAGTAACTAATAGGTCGTCATCTCGTCATGTAATAAGTCGGCAGCACAAGCACGTTATTGTTCTTCGAAACATTCATTCTAAACCATGTTTTCTTGCAGAGGCGTTGAAATTGGTGCAATTTAATTAATGTATATACACACATGTGAAATGGGCATATATACACACACAGACAATTTTAATGTGTAATTATTATTTGAAATCTGAACTTTGAATACTAGCGCGAAAGATTTGTAGAGGCGGTTGTAAAACACAGCCGACTTTAGAAATTGTTTTCTAAAGGTGGTTAGGAACAACATCAGCTTCTGAAAAAAATTATTTGTAGACAAATCCATTTTTAGAGAGAGCTCTTGTTCCGAGCTGCCTCTAGAAATTGTTGCGGCAGCCACCTCTATAGAGGCTTCCTAGACGCCTCTAAAAAGCTTTTCAGTAGTAATGTGTGGCTCTTGTGTGGTAGAGTTGGGGTCGGGTATGAGATATGTCTCTAATCACATTGGCTTGGTAGAGAGAATTACACTAATAGCAATATATAAAAGGCAAATTAAAGAGATATGTTTGAGAAAAATGGATCATTATATTGGTGAGTTTTCCATTTTTTATGAGGAAAAACCATTTCTTTGCTTGGTTGCAAAACATATGTTTTGTGATGCATCCTGCTGGAGTGAGCCTTTTCCTCGACATCATGATTAAATGCTATCAGGTTATTCCCTGTGGTTCTTTAGCAGCAATTAAATGATATTTGAGCACTATCTAGCCTATCAACAATCCTCATGCATGGTGTATGTCTGGAATGCTTTTCTTGTGATCGGATGCATTTAAGAAGTAGGAAATATGTTTCGATAGTTACTTAGGCATCATCATTATATTTGTGTAGTAATAAATTCTTGCCATAATATAATGTTATGATTAGGAAATTTATAATTGATATAATTAAACACAATTTCACCATTGTCTAACCTATCACACAATGCTCATGACGTATAAGGAATGTTTTCTTGTGATTGATGCATTAATTTATGAAGGAAAAATCCTTAGCTATAAGTAGGAAAAATATATATATACACTTTATTTGGCAGTGAGTTAATGCTATCCATAAATCATGGTATGAGTAGGTCATTCCTTGCCTCTATAAGTTGCTCTAGAGTCCTCCTTGAAACATATATAAACTGCCCCTCTCCTCATTTCATTTCAACACCAAAGCAACCATTTCCTTATGTTTATAATCCTACTAGCTAGTAGTTGCTGAGCTAGGATATTGCTAGGGTGCTATGGCACGCAAGAAGGTGAATCTCCAGTGGATCTCCAACAATGCTACTCGGCGTGCGACGTATAAGAGACGCTCCCAGGGCCTGGAGAAAAAGGCTAGTGAGCTCACCACACTCTGTGGCATCAAGTTGTGTGTAGTGATGTATGGCCAGGGCAAGGCTCAGCCAAAGGTGTGGCCCTCTGATGAAGAGGCCAAGGAACTCCTCATGAAATTCAACAGCACGCTAGATGTCAGTAGCCTCAAGAAGACAAAGAACCAAGAGGAGTTCCTCCACAGTCGCTCCTTGAAGCTCCATGAGCAGGTAAGCAAGTTGGACCATGAAAATCGCGAGCGTGAGACCTTGGACCTCCTCCATGATATCATGTATGGAGGACGCCCGGGCCTCGTTGGCACTGACAAAGACGAGCTCCTTAGCCTTAGGGATATGGTGGAGATGAAGATGAGAAAAATCAAAGCACGGCTTCAGCAGCTTGTGGTCGGGGAGCGAGTCCTCCAACAGCCATTGCCGCAGGTGATGCTGCCAACGTCATCCTCGTTGCAGACACAAGCTTCTTGCTACACCTACAATGAGATGCAAAGCATGGCAGTACTAGAGGAACACCGTCCCTTGCAGCAGAACTGGAGACTTGCCAACCTAGCCCCAAACTACAGTCCCTTCGCAGGTTGTAGCAGTGGGGGTGAAATGATGCACCCTTACAATCTGGGTGCTTGTTCAGGGCTCCCATCGGCACAGTAGGGAAACCATCCCATAGTGCATGGCTAGATCTTATATGTTTTCATTGCATGTTGCTCTTAGGGTCCTATCTTAGAGTCACTCGTTGCATCCCATGTCTTGTGCTTAGCACGCGGCACAAGTTATCTTTCATGTTGTTTTTGCATTTAACAATATGTATGCATGAATCTGTGTACCCCTTTCAGTCATTTAGATCAATGATATTAATGGATGTCGTTATATTTTGGGGTGTTGCTACTTTATTTACACATATCCAAGATACATATACCATGATACCGAGGGTCTACGAAGTATGAGATGTTCTGTGTGTGATGCACGTGGACTACCCGGCACTTCCTGTAGTGGCTGGCAGCAGTAGCAGACCCAGGACTGAAATGAAGCCCTGGCGAGACATAAAACACTGATTAGGTCATGTGATCTGTAGCTTCCGACTAAGAATGCTGCGACGAAGGACTAAGCATGTGCCGGCGCCAGAGCCCAGGGTCACCGGGCCTTGGGTCCACCACTGTCTGGTAGTGATATTGTTTCTGTTGAGGGTACGGTTGTGACGCCTATGGGTGCCACTCCTTTTGCTTGAGGCATCACTTTTAACCCCTGCTCTTCTTCATTGCACATTCTGCCGGTGTGTGGATCTACTGGGTGAAAACCCTGCACCATTTGATCCACGACATCCTTGGATGTTGTTTCCTCCTTGGAGGTGTCCGTTTGGAGAGATCATTGATATTGCCCACAAGTGTCTTCTCCCGGCGGTGTTTTGAGTGTGCACAGGGATGTTCTAGTTTGTTCGGGCTTTCTGGGAAGAATCTCAAGTGTGGCTCACAATCATCTGGTCAGCTGTATCAGTCATTGCTGGTCAAGTGCTACTTGGTGGTTGGTTGGCAGATGGCAGAGGATAGTTAGTGGACTTCGGTGACATGTGAGATGCTTTAGATTCATTGTTCATCAGCTTGTTTTTGCAGGAGGACGATAGAGTTTTTGTGGACTTTCACAATCTCACTTCATATACATGAGAATAGGTGGAAGTGGAACCGCATCCTGCTTTCCCTATAGGTGGATAGTAGATTGATGGGTGGTTTGGGTTATATGCTCAGTCTACGATTCTAAATTTGCTTAGAGCCAAATCGATCACATTCATATTTCTTCAAACTGCAACTATTTTCATCGACTAGTATGTGCTTTTTTATTCAGATGAAGATCGAGAGAGCTTTGTTAACTAGGAATGAATGCTATATATTGTAATCATTTGTATGATGTCCCAAAAATGCACGATGACACTGGCCTCAGCCACGCCGCCTTATGAATGGTTTTCCTAGCTTGCAAATTAAGCTAACTCATTTCACTACTATATAGTCAAGTAATTGGCTTTAAGTCTAGACTCTATACCCAACTTTCTGTGGTGGCCACACAAACACTACTTCTCAAAGTGGATCCAGCTAACTACACGGTCATACAAACATGGCTTTCCTTCACTTTCTGATAAGGGCAATTGATGGACCACATGAACATACTATTTCTATATGACATGTTTTTTCTCTGCCATTGAATTCCTGATGGAAAGAGATGGTTTTTTTTTCTTTCCTGTCGAAATCATATGGAGTGATATCTTGCTAAAGCTAAGGTCCAGTGAACTCATGGTACCTCCACCTTAAAGTCTCTTTGATAAATGGGGTCCACCTACCAATGGCCTTTTGACATTTGAGGTCCACCTGCCAATGACTAAACTTTTTTATTTTTGTTTTTTATGCCCCTATCCCATAGCTGAAAACGTCACAATGGATGCTTCTTACGGGACATGTTGAGCACCTTGCAATGGGAGTTGAAGTAGGTGCTACTCACAAGTCACAAAGGTGGGGCTGCATGCCTGGCAGTATTTAGGGAGGAGCGGCTAGACGTGTATAGCCAATGTTGCACTACTGCAAGCCTGCACAATATCTTTGTTCCCTTGAGACCAGTGCACCACTCCAAGGTCTTTTGCACAACCAAATGGTTGAAGCGGCGGTGGCTGGGTGCCAGTTGCGAGGCAGCCACAACACCAGTAGACAGATGTGGGAGAGATTTTGGTTTCCGCCAACACTTATTAGACTTGTACTCTGTGCCCATACCACTATACTTGTGCTTTTCCCAGCGCTTGAACAACCCTCCAGCAGTGGGAGGTGGCAAGCAAGTGTTCGCAACAAAATTTGGTTGTTCCCTGCTAATATAGGAAAACCAAGCTGGCCAGTGAACTTGAAGCTTTGTGTGAAGGCTGATTTTGAGGGGATGGAGGGGGAGATGGCTTGGGGTCACTACGTGAAAAACAGTTTGTAGCAACGGGGCTTTTTTTTTAGGGGCGGCTGACATTGGAGCCGCCCCTACAGTGATGTACTCGGGCTCCAGCACAGCAGCCGCCCCTACAAATGGCACAGTAGGGGCGGCTGGTAATACGAGCCGCCCCTACAAATGAGTCGATTTGCAGGGGCGGCTGGTCTGCTATGTCCTTTTGTAGGGGCGGCTGAATCACCATCCGCCCCTACAAATTCCCGTTGTATATATAGCAGCCACCTCCGCCCCGAGAAAAAAAATCCAACCCTAACTCCCTCTCGCGCATCCACATCCTCTCTCGGTGGCGGCTCCCTCTCTCTCTTGTCTCCGCTCTCCTCACTCCCTCTTCTCTTAGCGGCTCCGTCGTCCCTCCCCTCCGCTGACGTGACGCCCACCTCGGCCCGCGCTGGTTTCCGTTCGCACAGTGACTGACCACGCGGCCGTGCGGGCGCGAGACGAGATGAGACCACCACGCACTCGCGGCTCCCAGCTCCACTCCCAGATCCGCTCCGCACGGGTGAGTCCAGGCATTCTCTTCTCTTCCCCTCCCTCTCTCCCCATCTCCCCCGACGCGGGCAGGGCGGCGGCGCGGGGAGACCTCCGCGGTGGCCATCTTGGCGTAGCCGGGGTTGATCCATTAGATCCGCGGTGGATCCGGCTTGCGGGGGATGGTGAGCTCCTCATCCCTTCTCTCCTTCCTCTCTTCTATGTTCGCCCTCGTTCACTCATTCTCCTAGGTTTGGGACACCAGCGGAGGTGACGGATCTCCTACGGGCTTGAGGCGCGGGTCTCCGAGGACCGCTGCTCGGCGTCCCTATCCGGCAGGTGTCAGCGCAAGCTGGTCTGGACGATGACGGTCCCATCTGCTAGGTATCCCACTCCTCCATTCCCCTTCCCCTTCCGTTCCTGATATATGGTCGTCGGTGTTGGCACGCTAATATCTCCGTCGATTTGTTTGTTTTTACATGTAGCAGTAGAGGGAGGAGAGTGTATATCGTGTACTCTGATGACGTATCTAGCCCTGATTGCTGGCTGCAGGTTGTGCGTGTACACATGCCCAGCAAAATGGTAGTGAGTATTGTTTCAATCTATCAGATTAATTTCCGATGAATTTACTTGTCTTTTTATGTTTGATCCTGTTCAGACATTCTGACGTTGGGCTAAGAACAAAGCTTCAGGCTCAAATGTACTCGGTATAAAATACTCTTTCCTCATTTCATTGTGTATGCTCTGAATGGTGGCTCTTTATTTCTCGTATCTGCTAGTCCAGATCTCTGATCTCTGGATGTCAATCAACAATGAAAATATTCTGATTGGGTTGCAGTCTATTAATCTGAGATACAAAGTATTTTTCCTTTAGAAAAAGGTAATGAAACTATCTGTTTATGCTTACAAGTTACAAACTTTTATTGTATTCATCCACACATTCATGCTTCTTCCTGCTTAAACCATTTATGAGATATGTTTTGTTGTTTAGTACTGCCACACATTGTATCTGTATATATCTAAATGCCTTAAAGATCTTGTGCACATGTCCACTTACTCTATCACTTACATTTCCTGTCCTAGCTAATTAGAAGATGCTAAATATGGTTATCTAAAATGGTGGAATAGTTAATGTCTCTTCTCTTCCCCTCCCTCTCTCCCCATCTGCAGCGTTAGCTGATGATGGGAAATTTCTACTTGCTGCACGCAGAAGTCATAGGCCCGCAGACACTGAATACCTGATCTCGCTTGATGCAAAGAATACATCAAAAGGTACCTACATTGGCAAGCTAAGGTGAGCATTCAAGAAACAGTGTCTGAAATTCAAAACTTGCTCTGTTTTTTCAACGCCGTGCATCGGATCAAAAGTATGGCTATGACAGAGACCTCGGTTTACCATATTCTTCTCTGTTGATCAGATCAAACTTCTTGGGAACAAAATTTACTGTCTATGATGCCCATCCAGCTTGTGTCGGAGCTATGGTTTCAAAGGGTCCGTCTGCACACATGATCGGTTCAGCCCAAGTTTCTCCTGGGGTGTCTGCACACCTGGTCCGTCTGCACACATAATAGTTCTGCTTTTCTCATTTGAGATACTGACATATTGCTTCTGTATTTTCAATTTGTCCTCATTGTCTTCTATTCCTATATAATATATAGTGATCAAATTTAGGATCTTCTTTGTTGAGATTGGTTTGTATGTACTTTTCTAGCTTTTGCAGGCCTATTCTTTACCTTGCAATGCAACTATTCGTGTTTGAATGTCTTCTGGGATGCCTGATTACTTGATTAGCAAAGAACTAGTAATGGCTCAAATGTATTGTGTAGGTAGTTCTAGTCACAAACAAACTTGGACCACATCCTCATGAGAAATAACAAGTTGTGAGGGCACTTGTAGATTGTCAGTATGCACTTGTGATACCTAGAGTCCGACACCTAAAATTCTTATCATATGCTATTGTAGTATTTCATATAGTCGTCCCAGCTAATACAGAGGCGCCGCCGCCACTGCCACCCTCTGATCTAGAGCGGCACTTCGGTGAGCTCTGGCAGGGCCAGAGGGGAGCAGACGTCACATTTGAGCTGGAGTCTGGCAAACGTTTTCTCGCGCACAAAATCATTCTTGCTGCAAGGTCATGGCCGAGTTCTTTGGTGGCATGAATGAGAGGAGCTCCCAGAGTGTTAGGATCGAGGACATGGACGCTGATGTCTTCAAG